AGGAAGTTGCAGTTAGGCCGGTTTGCTCTTGACTTTTGACACTGAGTCATGAGACATTCTCATGCAGGAAGAGTTACCTGTGTGCGTCTCAGCTCTGTCAGCCACGAAAAGCTCTTTATGAGCCCTGGCCTGTTTGCCTCACAGGATTGTGAGAATCAAATACAGTTGCATCATGGAAATGGCCTGTCAGCTGAAAAGCCCTAAACAAAGGTGTAGTCTTGGCAGCTGTTCAGTGAGGACTGATTCTCATTTCCATAAAAGTAAAGATGCTGTGATCAGATGTGCATTGTTGGCATCTTTACCTGTCCAAGAACTTTTGCAATTCTTCAGGGTTAAAATGAGCAATTCTGGGAGTGTAGCTCAGCAGTAGAGCTTTGCATGTGTGGGACTCTGGGTCTAATCCCCCCCCACGCACATGCACACACAAGTGCACACAGCAGTTTGATAATTTAAACTAGGGACGAATGTATGTGTATGTTTTTTTAAAAATGCAAATATTATACCTTTTTTAACTGCTCTAAATCAGATAATAGAAACAAGTTGATGTGCAAACCCTAAAATATTAAGAATCAAGTTTCTTGGGGGGTAAGATTTATTTAAGATACTATGACATAAGTTCCTTTAGGAAGGTATAAACATAATTTCTTAGCAGAATATGTCACTGAATAATCATTAATTTAAGAATTAAAACAGAAAAGGCTGGGTATGTAGCTCAGTAGTACAGTGCATGCCTTGCACATATGAAGTCCTATAATTTGATCTTTGACACCCCCCTCAAAGTTTCCAAAATTCTTGGTACCAGGGCACATAAGTACATAAGAAAGTAAAAAATCTAAAATCTCACTAATTTTCAGGAAAGAAGTATAGTTATATTTTAAAAGTATTCCTGATTAGTAATAAGAAAAAATAGAACTTTGAAGTCAATGGCTAATTTTTTTACTTTATCTGCTAATCTAGTTCTTAATTTAAAAACACACACTACTTTGTTCAGTCGTTTTTTTCCCCTCAGCACTGGGGATTGAACCCAGGACCTTTGCAATGAGCCATATCCCTACCTTCAATTTTTTTTTTTTTAAATTTTGAGACAGGGCTTTGCTAAGTCTCTAAACTGCTGAGGGTAGGATTAAATCTGCAGCCCTCCTGCCTCAGCCTTACAGAGTGCTATTATAGGTGTGTACCACCTTGTTCAGTTTTTTAAATATTTATATCTTATTTTGTAACTTCCCATTGGTTAACATTGTCTTTAGCATTTTCAGTAATTAATATAACCTTTTATCACTTGGCTAGATTATATTGAACTACTTTTACTTTTTTTTTTTGTTTGTTTGTTTTTTTCCGGTACTGGGAATCGAACTCACGACCTTGTGCTTGCCAGGCAGGCGCTGTGCTGCTGAGCTAAACCCCCAGCCCCTACTTTTACTTTTATAGGAAAGCCAAAACATCAGCCAACTAGATTTTAACATGTTTAGCTAAATCAATTTTTTCTCATGTAATATACTAATTGGGGTGTTTCTAGTTGCAAGTAACAGAAAATGTAATTTATTATCTCACATTAAAAGAAGTCCAGTGGTATGGTAGGCTCTAAGTCTGGTTGATTTGTTAGCTTAATTGCATGTTATGGGAACTGGCTTCTTTCCATCACTACTTTGTCATCTCTGGTGCTGGGGAAGGGCCAAAGGAGGGATAGGAAGATGGTCGTAGCACTTTTAAGCACTCGGGGTCACGGGGAAAACTTGTTAATCATAGGTTGTTGACTATAACCACAGAGTTCTGATTTACTAGGTCCTGGTGTGGTCTGAGAATTGGTCTGCTAAGTTCTGCTGCAATATACTGACAGTGGGGCCACACTTAATGATCCTGGTGGGAATGGACAGTTGAGGATCACTCATAACGTTCATGACAATATGGACTTTATCACTTGCCGTACAACATAGAGTGCTCTTTATTCTCTTCAAAGTGCTTTGTGCCATTTCTAGGTTGTCAGTTGTTAACTGTTCCAGACAGGGGCAGTATTCATCTAGAATGCTGGTACTCCTGCTAGTTGATCTAGCAGTTTCTTAGAAAAGTTTTGCATGTGGTCCTTGGAATTGGGGCCTCACAGGGCCAAATGAAACCTAAATTTGCACTTGTTTATTTGTTCCTCGCCAATAGAAAAGTCTCCCCTAGCCTGTCACCTTCATTTCCCAGTTCATGCTAATGTAAGACATTTGGCAATATTAAATTATTCTTAATATCGCCTGATATAGGCTACACAAGCATTCCCTTCTATAACTAGGAAACAAAAATAGTTACCTAAAGGTATACTGTAAAACACGCTTCTAGTTTTCCACCTGAAGCATTTTCTGGCCTTTAAGGTTTAACAATTTGCTTGTGTTACAAAAACTCTTTGGTGTCAGTTTGTAATTTCCTTTCTCTGTTTCCCAAATCATGCAGCCAAATGGCAATTCTCACTTCTAATCTCATTACCATGTAAACCTTCTCTTTGATATAGCTTCTGTATCTTGTGTAGTATGTGCAGTGAGAGTGATTATCTGTTAGCCTGATTTTCAGGATTAAACTTCAAGATCTTTATAAAGCCTTGTGCTATTTCTGTGCTCTCTCTCTAATTTATTATCATAATGGCATGTTTGTGCCTCTTTTTCTTGCTTACTTTCACAATAGGAAGCACAGTGGAGAGAGATGATTTCTGCAGGGGGAATGGAAGGACATGGGACAAGTTCAGGCAAAGATGCAAGTTTTGCAAAAAGGTATTTGACTTCTAGTTGGGATAGGAAAGTTGTAAGTGCAAAATGTGCCACTTTGAATGTCAGAGGAAATGTGACCTTTCCCAAGGCTTTCTCTGACACCAGTATGCAGTAGGATAAAGAGAGATTACAACTGTTTCTGATGTGAAATTGAGACAGCATTTCTATGAAGGGAGATGCGATGGTAATAACTGCAAACACAGCCAGGGACCTGCAAACATGGTATGGAATCTGTCTCATCGTATCAGCTATTTATGACAAAACCATCAGTAAAGCTTTGAAAGTTGGAAGATACTGGCCAGTGACAAGTGAACTTACTTGGCTGTCCTAAGACCTACTACTTATGAACAGCCTCCCAGCAGTCTTGTCTAGGAATTAAGAGTAAATTCCTTGATCCGTAAAAGTAATGACTAAAGACTGCTGGAAGTAATCATACTTTCAGTTTTGTCATGCATTGATATGCATGCCATCAGAGTTCAAAGCACAGGCTCAGCTGAAACCTTCTACTTGCATTGAAGCAACCACCTCAATATTATCTTTTGGTTTCAAATGGTTGCCTAGGTTTGAAATCTGACCATGCAATTTTACATGGTTTAGGTTGTTTGTACACAATATTGATTAAGATTCATCCTGCTCAGATCATGTGGTCCTAGTAACCCCATTGTGGTTTGGGGAATGTATGTTCATTGTCATACTACTTAAAATCCCTTAATGCTTCTTTGCTTTACAAGAAAGTAGACATTCAGGTTTTAGTTTGGTCATAGGAAGCAAGTAGCAAAGTCAAAGGTGGGATTATGTTTTGGTGTTGGTGGGGCCTTGCACATGGTGGACAAGTGCTTTACTGCTGAATACATCTCCAGCCCCTGTGACCAATTTTTCCATAGATGTATTTGATTTTGTACATTATTTAGAACAAAATAATTAAACCCAAAATTTTAAAGCATTGATTTTTAAGTAAAAAAATAAAAGCTCAGACATAATATACTTCACTACCATCAATCTCACTCAAGCTAATATTTCAGTCTTTTGCTTGCTTCTCTGTATAGTTTTATCGTGGTTTTAATTTACAATGTTTTTTTAGATCCTTACAAGAATCTTATAAGGTCAGTGTGTGTGTGTGTGTGTGTGTGTGTGTGTGTGTGTACATCTGCCCAGGTAAAATGTACATTTGTAGTGCACATATATATTACTTTTTTTTGTTTGTTTTTTGAGTCAGGGTGTCACTATGTTCAGGCTCGTCTTGAACATGCTATGTAGCCCAGGATGGTCTCAAATTCAAAGTGATCTTCCTGCCTCAGCCTCCCAAGTGCTAGGATTATAGGTACAATACACACACATTTTAGTTCCGTTTCTCTAAAATGAGGAGGCAGTGATGGCTATTACAATCTCATGGCAGGTTTGCTCAGTCTGAAGAGGGGATGTGAGAGAAGGAGCAGGGCTTCTCTAGTTTGTAACCTAAGCATTTCCTATTTCTCTGGTTTGAATAGTATTAATTTATGCTATCTTTCATGTACAAAATTTATAAATATACATAGTAAATGTTGAAGTCACAGTTGGTTCTACTGATGATGGCTAGTTTGGTGGAGATGTTCCTGGTACAGAACAAGGAATCATTTTGTAGAGATCATGTTGATAAAGCTCAGGATCAACTGAAAAGCTGAACAATGAGCTATCATTTCAGGCTCCTCACTGCCCACAAGCCTAGGGATTTTCGAGATGAGTGCCAGTGGATTAAGGATGAAGTTAAAAAAAAGAGAGTGACAATTTTCCTGAAAAGTTCCATTATCCAGCTTCTTTTCCGGTTTAACAATAGGAATAAGGAAAAGTTGCTCTAGATAAAATGTATCAAGGGTCAACAAGTACAATTAATTACCTCAGGAACGGTAACACCGTGCAGGAGCTGGCGCATTCACTGTATGAGGGGTAGGGTTATGATGCCCTTGTGCACACAAGTCACTGTCTTGCTTACTTTTCTCTCGTTGCTGAGACAGAATACCTGATGCCCCAAATTAAGGAAAGGTTTATTTACCTCACAGTTTGTGGAGGTTTCAGTCCGTACTTGGCTGGCTCCAAGGCTGGGCAGCATCGCACAGGGCATCTGTTCATGGCCTCAGAAAACAGCAAAATCAGCAAGAGCAAAGAGGCAGGGAGTATGCGTCTTTCCCTCCCTTACATTGTAATGCAAACTACCCGCCCCTGGACGGGTGTAGCATTCACACCTACAATCTCAGCATTGGACCATGAATCAGTCATAAGCTGTAGAGGCTAGAGGCCCGCCCCATGACTGCATGAAGCCATGGGGGGACATCCAGACACAAACCATAACAGTCACTAAGCATGCAAACCAGAGTGGGTAATTTTTAGTCTAGAACTCTACTGACAGTGCAACTTTGGAAAAGGACCTCACTGAATAAAAGCTCATCAGTTCTTAAAAAAAAGGTAGCAACTGTTTAGAATCGTGACTCCAGATTAGTTCACTTTCTTGGGGGCCAAACATGAAAACAGGCAGCGGAGTCCGTTTATTTTACGTGAAGCGCGTAGACTGCGTACGGGAAGGTGTCACAGAGCAGACAGGAGGCAAGTCCGCGGTGGGTGTAAGCGCTGATGGGAAAACACCTCTAGAACAGGGGAGCGGTTTCATTCCGAGCCGCCCAGGATCCTGTAGAGGATGTGCAGCAGCTCTCCAAGTGTCGCTCTGCCCCCTGGCGGGCACAGGAGAGAGAGACCTCTGGTCAATGGCTGCTGCGTCTGGCTCACCAGTCCATCAAAGAGCGTTGCCGAGGGGCTGCGTGCGTGAAGGAGTCAGCGGCAAGACAGAGCTGGCGGCCAGCGGGAGCGCGGCTCTTACGGTGGGCGGCTTGTTTCGAGTCGCGGCCGCAGCCCCCCTCGAGGTCCCTCCCCTTGAGCGAAGCCCCAGCGTCCGCCCCGCGGCCTCAACTCTGCCCTTCCAGGGCCGTGGGCGCGGAAGCGCATCCCTCCTGCACACAGCTTGGGGGGGGCGCCGCCCGGGTCTGCGCGGGAGGGCGCGAGGCGGGGGCTGCTCGCTGGGCGCCGTTCCCGGCAGCCCGCCGCGTCGCCGCGACATTGTGACGGCGCCGGGCCCCGACGCCCCGGACCGCGGCCATGACTGTGCCCGGCCGTCTGCAGGAAGGAGCGGCCGGAGCGGGGAGGACGGGCCGCCCAACCCGGCGCGCGTCCGCTGCGTAAAAACGAGCAGGCACCGTTCTCGAGGTGGACTAAGAGCCGCCCCGCGGCAGGCAGGGCAGAATCGGGCCGCCAGCCCGCAAGGCCGCCTACGAAGCTACGCCCACGCCGAGGAGAGAACCTCGGGCCGCAGCGTCGGCCTCAGTCTGCACTGCACTTCCGCCTGGCCGCCGTGCGCCGCAGTGCGCCTGCGCGCGCGCCCCTCGCGGCGGAAGTGGTAGCGGCGG